TTTCACCTCACCTTATACTATGTCGTTTAAGTTGATAGTCATTGACTAAGAGGACGTTTGGTTGGAGGATTCAAACCATATAATTCGAACCATTTTCGATTTATGTGTATTTTTTGTGAGAAAAAATACTGTAGCGAACCACGAATCATGATTCGAATCAGGGAACGAATCCCTCTACCAAACATCCTCTAAGTTTTCATACTTACATGTATTATTTAATGATCGTCTTGTGATGAAATTGATTATGAAATACTTGCAAATGCAAAGCAGTTAACAATCTTAAAATATTGAACTAATTTTTTATGCACAACATATTTGAGATGGCTTTGTACAAGAATTATGCATACTGAAAGAAAGATATTTTGAGTTCATCAAAGTCTTAGCTGGTAGTGTATAGCCTTGTCTTGAAAACCTTCAATTTGGGTAAACCAGCAAAAGGCGCGTCACTTCACTTCTGGTTTGGTTTTCCATTTATAGAAATAGAGAACAAACATGCAGTCAATTTCAAATAGCAATTCTGCTTTTGTGGGGTTCTTTTGTCAACACTCAAAACAAGTGTGCCTTGTCCTAGGAAAAATCGGAATTAGATGTGTACAAAGTTTTTCTTGCAGGTAATAATTGTAAGATGATTTGATGTTTCATTGTCGATCTGATCACAATGGAACAGCATTTTAGACAAATTTTTCCATGACTAAAGTATTATTTAGTTTTTTTCTAGCAAAAAAAGAAAAAGAAAATGAAAAAAGTATTAGCTAGTTTTTTTTTTTTTTTTTTTTTTTTTTTCAAAAACAAACATATGGTTAGTTTTAGACAAAGAAAGAACTTTGGTGTTATCGTTGTGAATACAAACGACTTGTAAGTAATGATTACGTGAGCGTTTTTATTGTCTCAGAAGAGTCAGAAGTAGAAACTTTTTTCTTAGGCCTTGAAGTTCTATGAGCCCAATGGTTCCAATAATGGAGAATCAGGAGATTATTTGACATATATGGCAGTACGACATATATGATGTTTCAACGTGCTTGCTTATTTGCGAGGAAAAAAAACACACACTGAAATTGCATATTTAAATTTTGAGATAAAAAGAAAAAGAAAAAAACACGCACACATTGAAACTGCATATATTTGATTTTGATGCAAATTTAACAATTTAAAATTGCACTTTCACAGTATATATATATATTTTGGATGGTATTAATTTCTTTTTTAAAATTTCTTTTTTAAAACAAATTTGACTTGTAGCTTTAGGACATTTACTCATCCACTTTCTTCTTTTTTTCTCTCTCTCTCTTTTTTTTTTTTTTTTGTTTGTTTATAAATACTTCCTATTGTTGCTATTAGTAACCAATATTCGAATATGTGTTGAAAAAGGATAGGAGGTACAGACATGAGATCTCTTATAGGCACCGAAATTTTGGCCTTTGAACCTAAGTATACCAGTCAAAAGGCATTTTATACTAGTTTTGCATGTAATGACGCTTCTTAACGATAAAGTAACCCCAATGTCTTTTTGCTTTTTAAGTTAATTTGATTAAGATTAATCTTAATAAATATTTCTTAAAAATGTATTGATCAGTATTTTTATCTTTTACTCTTAATTCATAACTTTTTTAATTAAATAATTATATTAATAAAAAATATTTATTAAGAATAAAGTATAAAAATTCAGACTCATGTATTTTTAAAAATTCTCCATTTTTTTCTTTGATTAATAAGTTTAACGTCCTTCTGACCTGAATATATACAGTATGTGTATATATACTATATAGTGTGTGTATATATACTATATAGTATATATATATAGCGCATATATATATATATTGTGTGTTATATATATAGGGATAGGGGTTTGAAACTCCTTGAAATGCTAAAACAGCCACATTTTTTCCACACCGTTGCATTATTTGTTTGTCATGCTCACTGTCCCTTTCTAAAAGGAAATGATTAGAAACTTATATAACGTTCAGTGGCTGTTAAGCAAAGTTAATACAAGGAAAACGGCTAATTCATTTCTAAACAGACTCATTCTATAAAGTAAATGAGAATTTTCATGGTGGGAACGACTATTTTACACACTGGTAAGAATTACTTTCTCAGTCGTCTGATTAATTTTTTAAAAGTCTGGCTTGCAGAAAGGAGTAGTTATTTATCGTGCATGGTAAATTTTTATCATGAACACTTATATATCAGATCATTTAAAAACTAATTTAACAAATGCAACAGAAGTGCTACTAATAAAGTAAAATATCAATTCTCACCCTAAAATTTTTCGACTTCTTTTACTGTGCAATCTCCAATTGTGACCCACCGCTAAACTAAGTGTATTTACTGTTGGATTAATTTTTTAACAGTTAGATGTGCAGTAAGAGTAGTTCTGTGTAGTGCGTTATAAATTTTTAATATGAGCCTAAATAAATTAACTGTTAAAAAAACTAATCTAACGATTAAAATACTTACTGCACTAGTGGGTCACAATTTAGAGTTGCACCATAAAAATTCTCAATTTTTTCATAGTAAACACTTCTTTAGAAATCAAGAAAGGTGATTCCGTTGTCAATGAAGGTGGCTACTGATTCTACCGAGAAGAATTGTCAAGGGGACACCCTAGTTGTAAAATCAATAATAAAAAAATACACTAAAAAGAAAAGAAAATTACGTAGAAGGAAAAAAAAAAGGTTATAGGTAGAGGTTTTATTTTATTTTTTTTTTTTAAGACGAGGATTTAGAAATGTATATAAGGTCATTCGGTCCAAATTAATTAAATAAATAATATAAGGACTTTCTTCAAGTCAGATATGATCATTCACCGAAAAAGAAATTTAAACGAGAGAAAAAAAAAAAAAACAAAAGGTATTAATGAGTCTTGAACACTATTATATTTGCATTTTATTGGTTGGTTATTGCATCAAAAGACATCCTATTCCCTACTTACAATTACCCAAAATTACCATTTGTCTTCGGATAAAATTTTCGATTTTCATACTAAAATGGTGTGTAAGAATATATATACATATCTATATATAAGTATTTATATACACACACACACATAAAGAGTGTGTCCCAGAAATTAAAAATAATAATAATAAAATAAAAAGAACAAAAAACAGAGCGAAATTTGAGGATAAAATTCAACAAAACGAGGACTTATCTATGACCCACCATAATATGATACATCATTTTCAATTGAACGAAATATCAAACAATGTGATGTGGCTTTCAGCCTTTTGTTTTTCTTTTCCCCCCCTTTTTTTGTTATATTTTTTATCTGTTTTTTTAATTAAAAAACAAATCAGTGTATATCAGAGGAAAGTAAGGCATGGATGACCTTATAAAGCCTGCAATGGGACCTCCTTACTTTGCCCACCCACCAGATGGGTTGGCAAATGGCATCTCCAATACTCTTCCTAGGCCCTAATCACTCCAAACATCATAACAATGCACACAATCTTATAAAAATTGTTATAATGTCGTTTTCATTTTTTTTTTCAATTTTGCACTGGCCAAAACCGTCCTTTTCCAATTTTGTATACATTCTCTTCACACTATATCCATGGCGGCATTAAAATATCTATTATAGAATTATAGATTATTTTCTCAAGTTATTATTTTCTCCAAATTTCGATTTTTAACATTTTAAATCCTTAAGCTTTAAGAGTTCCTTTACTTTACACCCTCCGTGATAATTTGTCAATTTTTTGGACGGGTTCTTTGGGTTAATTTCACTTGTGTTTCTCTAATTATTGAGGTTGTTTTACTTTGTCCTTCAAATATGGATTTGCATTATTTTCAAACCTTGAACTTTAAGAATTGTCTATGTTTGTGCCTTTTGTGACATTTCGTTAATTTGTGGATGGATATTCTACATATTTGGACAATAACAGATCTATAAAGGGACCCATATAGGCATATGCCCTCATTAAGAAAAGATATTTTTAATTATATATTTTATTTATTACCCCTAGTTTTCTTCTATATCCTTACCCAATTAGGTTACCTCCTCCTCGTCCTTTTAATTTTCTTTCACAAGTGTAAGAAAATTAAGAAAACCTTTTCTTTTACTTTTTTCATTCTTTTTTTTTTTTTTTTAATTTTTGTTGCAAGTCTACTAGACTTGTGAGTTGTTTTTATTTTTATTTTTATTTTTTTTCTATTTCCATTCTTTACAATTTCTCACCTTATTTCTATTTATTTTCATACTTCTCCATAATAGCACCTATTATTTGCATTTTTTTATTAAAATAGAAAGATTCAGCGACAATGTGTCCTTATTGTAGAGACCCAATAAAGACCAAATTAACGGCAGCTGTAGGATTTAAATCAGAGGTCCAGCTCGTAATATTTGCATTTTTACTAAAAATAAAAATAAATTAAGAAAACGTGATTTTGCATTGGTGTGCCCTCAATAAACTCAATAGAGATCATTAATAGTAGCCGTAGGATTTAAGTCAGAAGGACCACATTTTATTATGGAACTGGATATTGTGAGGAAATATTATAGGCCATATTATTACTTGGATTGTTCAACAAAACCAGCTTACCAACATGGACATTTGACAACCAATGAAACCAAAAGTAAGAAATCAACGGGACCGGTGCCACGTTGG